TCTCATTTACATTATCACACAATCATCTGATTTCGATCCTTGCCTGAAACACGAATTCAAATGCCTTTTTACGACTTGTGTCATTCACACCTGTCCATTGATGCATGGTTTGAATGGTGTTTAAGTGTGTAAACCAGAGACCCCCAATCCTCGCGGTTGATCACTTCTTTATGTTTGCATTCGTCATTGTTCTCCTCCCCACCCAGCCATTTCACAAAGCCATTCTGCTTAACCCCCCGCCTTCCCATCAATACAGAGGACGGTTTGGGATGAGCCCTGCTTTCTGTCCGACGATGACAGTATTTGTGAAGAGCAGTGATAGCCCATCGAGAGGCGATGCGGCTGAAGATAATACAACTCGGTGTTGTGTGACCAGGGCTCCACGTCAGCTGCATCACACCGTTGTTCATCCATGAAACGGGGAGGCGCTGATTTGGCCCGATGTACTTGATTCATTCGCGTATTGGAAGGTTCCTAGTTGATTGCGCCATCAACGATACTGTGATGATACTGGCAGTGTGTCACAGAAGTGAAACGAAGACTGTGTCTTACTGGAACTACTGGAAACATTCAGTGTGTTACTACGCTTACTTGAAACTCGATTTCGTTTGATAAGTTTGCGCCCCACATTGATAGGAATCTAACTATCTTGTGAGTTATGATTCAGCTTCGGTTAATAGAACAATGGTGTATTACGGGTAAAAAAGCAAAGCTTAACAAGTCCCGTGGGATGGAAATTATTGCGAAAGTAAACTTGCATATTAAAGGGAAAAGCGTTTTGGTGGATTCATCATAGACTTATGTAGAATAGCGGAGTTTGGTAAGACACCATTTGATTGCGTTTTGTAGCCCCTGGCGAACAATTCATAAAATGAAATGCAACAGACAACGCACCTTTAACTGGTTTTTTAAATATCGCCATATTGGGAGCAGAGACGACATAAGTAGGGAAGGCGTTCCAAGGCTGGCACACGCGGAGAGAAAAGAAATTTCTACGGCATTCAAGCCGCTTACCCTGTAGTTTCATTTTCAGAGGGTGATCTCTTAGGTTAGTGTTTTGGTTCCATTCCATCAGCGGACGGCAAGTGTGGTTTAAGTTCTTCAGAATCTGGTAAGCCATTATGAGATCCCCCCCGCAAAAGCCGATCTCAATTGCTGTACATTCTTAGGGATTTCAGTCTAAGCTGATAGGGTAGATGAAAGTGGCCCCTGACGCTCTTGGTTGGCCGTCGTTAAGGAGTCTTGAGAGCAAAGAGATCCTCTTACTGCCACGGCTGCCACGCCTAGATAGCATATTCCACGTGCGGTCTCACAGTGGCGTTAAACACTTGGGGGAAGATTGAGGGTTCAAACCGACCGAACGGTCTGCGAAGAAGGCCGTAGTGTTGATTACCAGCTCTCGAGGTTTATTCTGTTTGTTTTGAGCATCCGAGAACTTCCTGTACCAGTACACCCAGGTCACGCTCCTGAGAGGCCTTGTGCATGGTTGTAAATGCTCACTGGCTGGTAACGCAGATGGATCACCTTGCACTTAACTATGTTCAAATGAAGCAGGTTTCTCGTTGACCATTCATAAATGCAATCCAGGTCATGCTGGAGTAGCTCGTGATCTTCATTGTTACTAATGGCCAGCCATATCTTGACATCATCGGCGAAAAGCAGGAACTTTGAGGAGATAACTCTTGCCAGATCGTTGATAAACACTGGTAGTGAGTGTGGTCCCAACACTGAGTTCTGTGGGACACCAGATTCCACCTCAATCGGGTTAGAGTGATCCCCCTAATACCCACTTGAGGCTTCCGTTGGTGAAGAAAGTTGACAATCCAACCAAGAACAGGATCTTCGATTCCGTAGCTATGTAGCCAATAAAGTAGGATGCGATGATCCAGGCGGTTGAAAGCTTTGGAGAAGTGCAGATAGATGACGACAAATCCGACCCCATCATCAGCCACTTCCGTCCAATTAACTCGTGCAATTAGCAAGGTTGGTGGTTCATGACCGGTGTTGACGGAGTAGGCGGGCACCTATACCGGAATGGTTTCTGTTATTTAATATAAATTACGCGACTCACTGTCGGAACTCGTGAGTACTTCGAAAAGTTTCACTGACTGATAATTGGATCTAAAGGGAAAGTCTTTTAAAAGCAATTCATCTAATCAAAGTCCAGTCGGGTGATCAACGTGCCCCATGAAAACAGATGGTCACGTCCCTACTTGAAGAGGGAGATTGTATCTCTAGGGTCCAATCCTGACATTAGCACGCCGGAAACGCGCAACAAGGTTGTTGTTGAGTACAAAGGCATCGTAACTAACTACTTTGATCATATCCGTCATTTATGGCGGCGGTGGACTAAGCTGCTGCTCTAAAACGGCCGGTGTTGTGCTGGGTCTCACAAGTCTTGGTTGGAACACTTTTTATACTGAGCCGCCATAGATCGAAAAAGCTGTTTATTGGCTCTAGATGAGTACATACTGTTCGGTTTAAGCTAATTACGGCGATCAACTTTAAACACCCGCTCTCACAAAACGTTTTTAAAGGAAGAAAGCAGGAGTATGAGAGTCAGCGAACCTTGGGCCCATTGTATGTCCCAAGACGGCTATCGCATGAGGCACCTCCATCATGTTGGAGGTCACTCAACCAAGGACTACTATGGTTCTCTGTACCACTGAACTAGTGCCCGCATGCGTACGTTTATATCGTGGGTAAATGCACCTAGACTTTTCATCCATTGGGAAGCACTATGCGAGGAAGAAATGTCAGTTGGTTGTGAAACCAAACGGGTAGTCTTCGAATTCATGGAGGGAAAAGCCACATGGCATAATATGCCTCAGGCACACATCGTGGCACATTTAGTTCGATAACTACTGTTCGGTGTGAGTTATGAGCACATAACAGCCGAATGTGTCACTTTTTATTGTGATTACCCATTTCTGCAACAAATGTGGCGTGACAACATTCACATGCGGTTACTGTTCTGTCGTTTGGCCTCTTGAGCACTCCAGGCCGACCTCAAATGTCATGTGTTTAAAACCCTCAAGCCGCAAACATCGTTAACATCGTTAGGTTTCTAACGTTTCGCACGTTACCAGTGTCCGGCTGGCATCCGTTTATCATTGAACAATGATCCTATGATGCAACTGCTGACTGCACGTGCTCGACTGCTGCTTTGTAGCACATTATTCTCCCGGTGTAAGCACATAAAATACATCGTAGAACTCCGAAATGACAGCTTGCTTCACTACAAGCGGTTGCTTGGCTGCTTGTCTGCGCTAAATAACTAAGAGGGACGCGCGGGATTTAGCTTCTGCCCCGATGATTTCTCATTTCATTATCTATTAGTCAGTTAATGAGGCTACCGCACGCTGCTGGCGGGGCCTTTACATCGGCCGTGCCGTTCTCATTGAACATCATTTTTGCAATATCGCTATGGATACATTAGTTTGCTGGGAATATTTCAACATTGACCTTTGTCAAACTACATCTAATTTTACCAATACTGTTTAACAATGCTTTTTAAGAGAAACTAAAGATACTGCGCACTTAAAGATGAACTGTCCCATTGGAAATCCAACTTGCAACGCTGGTCTGTCGACAGAATGCGGCTTTAGCTTATTCTGTCCGGAGAGGTTCAATTGTTGCTTATTTATGCTGACCGTTTATTCAAATGACACCTGTATTCAGTGTCCTTTTATCTATTCACACAAAGCTGCATTGCCGATGTAATTTTAGGCTATCCGTAGTCGATATTCTAAAGTGCTGAAAATGCACCCATCTGGATGCATAAAGCCTCTTTTGACCGGACTTGACCTGACTTGATGGAAATATTTTGACCCTAGGTCCATTACAGGATGGCCCATGTTAGGATGGGTTGTCATAGGCATAGCGTAACTTGTCTGTAACACATAACATAGCAATTCAAACAGCCACGTTACCTCGGTTGATATGGGTGAACCTCAGCTGACCCGAAGAACAAACAGTTGATTTAACAAATTCGTGAAGAACAATTTCATCAGCATGACTAAAATAAACACCTTAAAATCGTTCACCGTTTGACCAGAACGCAGCGATTGGACCTGACTTGATACGACGTAAAATAGCAGACCTCCTTGTCCACCCCGTATGCATGAAGGTTGTATTCATACTGAATACTGAGAACAGAGCGCAAGATAAAAATCTGTGTTGCTCCCTCCTAGGTGGGTCGGTCACATGTGGATAATCACGTCGTTGATTCTTTAGCGGTGGCAGCATATTGCAGCTGCACTACATTTTATCCGGATGTGATACGCTCCCTATACCTGTAATCCGCAAAGTGGGCGTCCAAGAATCTCTTAAATTCGGCCACAGAGTTCGTCTGCACTAGCGCCTCAGGCATCTTGTTCCAATATTTCACCACTCGACGCTCGAAGCACAGAGAGTGAGCGATACACCTCAAATCTGGTACCACTAGTTTGTACCGGTGTCCGCGTATGCTAGTTGGTGCGCGAACGTGCAGCAGCGGTCTCAACATGGGGAGGTGGCCCATGTACAATATCCGGTGCCTCAATGGCATTTCAATTCGACACCGATGACAGAGTGTACAATCCTAGTCTCCTACATCGGTCCTCGTACGACATACCCCGTTAACTGAGGATAAGCCCGGTAGCTACATGCTGAACCCGTTCCAATCTCTGCACCTCACCTATTGTGATCGGACAATGGACAGGTGAGCCGTACTCAAGTATCATTTTTATCAAAGCAGAGGAAAGACTGGTTGCAATCCCTTCAGACCAAGTGCAGATGATGCGTCTATGTGCTCAAAGCAGGCGTAGTCCTTTTACGTACAATCTGTTCGTGTTGTCGACAGACTTCAGATCACAGTGTGAGAGTGCGCCTAGATCCTTTATGGGATTGGTGCGATGCAGCGGGTTGCGGGCCAGGGTATACGTACGGCAATTACCACCCCTCCCCATGCTCATAAATGAGGACTTCGCCGTATTGACCGATAGGTCATCTTCTGCAAACTACTGGGATAAGCGGTTGAGGTCCTGCTGAATGACGTCACAGTCGTCGGGAGAATCAATAACCCTACAAATCTTCAAATCGTCTTCAAACAGTGTACCAGGCGACCTAAGAAGCTGAGGTAGTTTGTTGATGTGGATCAGAAATGAAACTGACCCCAGTATTGTGCCTTTGCGTACACCGCTAGTGGACGACTCGCAGTCCGTTAGGTGGTCATTCACCTGTACCCACCATATTCTCCCGATAAGGAAGTCACTGATCCACTGGTGCAGAGATCCGCAAACATCACGCGCTCTCAGCTTGTGGAGCAGGACCACATGCCTCACTTTATCGCAAGCTTTACTGGAATCAATGTAGATAACATCCACTGGTTTCTCCCGATTCAACGCTTGCAAGCATTCCGGCCGCGTCAACAGCAGGTTGGTGATGCACGAGCGGCCCTTCATAAAGCCATGCTGTGCCAGCTTTAAGAGATCTTTCGACGCTAACAGCTGGAGAAGACCCTTTTTCACAACGTTCTCGAGCTCCTTAGCCAAAACAGAGGTGAGAGAGCTCGGTCGGTAATTATCCACATTGCGTGGGTCACCGCCTTTTGGAATCGGCTTCACTACCGAGCATTTCCATTCGCTCGGTAATGCACCGTCGGACATCGATCTGTTGAAGAGATCCACCACGGCAGACGAGATGATGGCCGTAAAGTACTTTAAGATAAGCGGATGAAATCCATCGGGTCCGGCAGGTTTCGGGCCATCAAGACTGGCGAGTAGGGTGCGAACCTTTTCTACACCGCAATCCAGGCTGTTAAGTTCCGTTGGGGGCTGCACACTTCGAGCTCGGCATAGGCGCTTGCCGATTTGTAAATACGGAAGCGAAGTGTTCCGCCAATGCGCACACATGTATGAGATGGGACTACGTTGCCATAGTACTTACCTCGTCGGATTACTTACACAATGTGGTACGAATAGCTGGAACTCTGGGTTTCTCCATTTTGTACGCTCACAGGAGTTGTACTGACCGTGAACCAAGGTGCTCAGTCCTTCAAGTATTGAAATGTGTAGTGAAAAGTTTACCTGCTTACTGGTGCATCCACGATACGTGAATATATTCAGGAAGACAGGAAATGCGTTGCGGTCAGTGAAAGCTGGACAATACCAATAATAACACGAATCTTTCTATCGGTTTAGACTAAAAGTTACGCTGACCGCGGAACATTACATATCGCATGTAAATCGAGGATGTAGCTTCCCGGAAATTCACTTTAAGGTAAGCCAAACGAATAACCATCCTAACCGATGGGTCTGTGATAGGAGCACGGTTGCTTTGCATTATTGATAAGTGCACAGTTTACTGACGGGAGGGTGGTAGCGAATCCTCAATGCATTATTGGGCTTATGTAAGGGTTTAATGGGCGGAGAAAGCAATGTGCATCCCACTACCGTTCTAGTAAGGCTGCTTTGCACACCGGATGGTAGTTGGCACAATTAGATGCGTCATAAAAGCGGAGAATGTTGTCTGTGTAGTACATTCACCAAAACATGCAGCTAACAAAATCGATGCATGTTTGAGGATCCACAAGTGGCATTGACAGGCCAATTAATCACACTTTGGAATTGGACTATTTTTGATTTTTGACCCATTGACATGGATACGCGGTCTAAAACGCAGCGATGCAGTGCTATACATTGCTGGTTGCATGCATATGAACGTTGGATTGCACCCCAATACAGAGTATATGACTTCTCAAATTTTTGAACGAGCGCAGTTATTTCGCATAGTCATGGTATGACTTAAACACAGTCGCCTATGAAGCACGTTACTGGTAGAGGAGTTCTTTGCAACAGCTTCGGCTAGACTGATTGATAACAGCTTTCAGAAGCAGGAAATTGGATTGCTAACTTGGGACACCAGCTGTCTCCCCGATAAGGTGGACACAAAGTCTGTTGAAATCACGCGCGAAAATTGAACAGAGAACAGCAATTTGTTCCGGGCAAAATAACTGGCACCTAACAAGTCCTGTAGGATGATTAGGGTGCAAACGACACACCGAAAATATGTGTGTGATAGCTTTAAACACCCTGCTGCACGATGATATTATAGAATGGGGACTGGATGTTCACAGACAAAACAATGTGGGGAGCAATCACAGTTCCCATTTTCCGAGAGAAAATAAAAACAGTCATTTATGTGCCGCTTATTTGCGTCCACGTGATATATAAATCCAGTATGAGCGCATTATGCAGATATTGCATATTAGCATAGTTTATGTAAAGAGGTGATGGAAGCTAAGAGCCATAACAAATATTTTGTTGAAAAGCTCCGAAGTAGGGGAGAAAACAGCTGAGTTTGGGAGAAAATTTTGGGGTTAGCAAACCAGAAAGGAAAAGTGATCCCGATCGGCAATCTAGACGGGTGTATTGTTCACTCATTTTCAGGCGATTGCTCCCGAGTTTGACACTGTGACTGAGTTTCAGCAAATTGCAGCGTGCGTGACTGGGGTCACTCAAAATTTGGTCCACCAACATGAGGTCTCTGTGCAGCTGTCGGCAGCGTCCACTGCAAAGTCCTAGTACCTTCAGACTTTGTTGGTAAGGAGGTTGTGCAAACCCTTGGCGTTCTATGTTTCCATGCTTTGTGGTGTCTCTGACACCTCGAAGTCCCGCTTCAACCGACGTTGCCAAGATTGGATAGGAGGTTCGACGTGAGGGCGCACGTCAGAGTTGTGCATCATCGCGAAGACCGATGGGTCAAAACTCCCGAAAGCCCTCCGCGACAGGTCGACATGCTGATTGTCACTTTTGCAACTGCCTCGGATTGTTTTGAACAGATGATGACCAGAGTGCGAAATCTGAGGACGGAGAGCCAGTTTGATTGGGTGCATTCTGTTATCGATCTGATGGGGGATTTGTGCCAGGCGATTCCTGTTCCACATACCATACCATGTTGTCTTCGTCGCCTGTGGATGCGTTCAATGATAATGCGCGCGATAAGAGAAACGTGGACCTGACAAGGATGTGCACTTAGCTAGTGAGTGTGTGGCTATGGTAGGGGTCTAGTGTCACTGATGTTACCGGCCTCTGTAGCTTTATCGAAGATCCTAAAAGCGCATTGAAAGCTGTAGCAAATACACCTTACCCGGTTTTAAAGTTTGCATTCTCAACTCAGTCATGACTAGATAATCTTCACCGTAATACTTAGCTACTTTTAGTCGCAAAATCAACTCTCACTATCACCTCTGCCAGGTCGCCGTGCTGCGGAGACGTTTGCAACCAGGATGCCTTTATCCGAAATAAATCCCATTTGTACCGGTTTCGATGGACCGCGTGCAGGTTGATGGGGCTTAGACATTTGGTCATGTTCTACTCAGCCCTTATTTGGGCATCTCTAGTTACGCTATCCATTAACCTGACTCAGATATCAGTCTAAATCGACAAACGGCTCTGTGAGAACAGAGAAAGCTGTTTGCAACCCAACCCTTGTAAATGTGAAGTGGAGTAATGGAAACCCTACTTTTGCTTTCTGCTTCGGTCTTTTATGCTCATTGTTACCCCCTCGTCTGGTAAAATTGTTTGTGCAAAATCAACTGGGTGTATTTAGGGTAATCCGGGGCAAAAAGTACTAAACTGTTACGTCTAATTGAATCACAGCTATTTATTGGTTATTCTCTAGACAATTCATGCACAAATTATGTGGACAACCGGACGATTGACGGTAGTCAGGATTATTGATATCTGGAATCTGCATATGGTAAATTAGCTCTTAATGATGTTACCTCTTCGTAACTCTGTATTCCGGCCCCAAGGCGCGTTATACCAGTGCCCGGAGTATGTCATACCACAAACATGAAGCAGGGGGGTAGATCTTGATACTTATGGAAATAAAACAGAATGTCATTCACAGTTAATAAGATATGAGTGTAGCGATGTGGTGCCTGATCTCCTAACAAAAACACCAGTTATCCCAGAGCTTAATCAGAATCACCACTGTGACCGATAAATATAACATTTTACTACTAACATCTTTACACCGCTGTTATTGACTGTACGCAGATCAATTGATGGAACATACACATGTGCAACTTGGGTGTATAGTTAGGGGTATAGGAGTTTCGGGAGATGGAACAATGGAACAATGGAACAATGGTATATGACGGGTAAAAAAGCATACACTTAACGAGTCCCGCAGGTTGGCAATAGAAATACTGACAAATTGGCAAACCACATAAGTGGTTGAAGTAAGGAGTGTCAGTGAGATAAAAGGTAGAAGTATAACAGTTTTAGGGGGATAAAGTGGTACGACGCAAAACTGGCTAAGAAATTGTTATCGTTGGTGATGGTAGCAAATCAAAATGGAGTACTCACCGGTTCGCACAGATTTACGACCGTGAATTTGGGGTATAAATCCAAAGAGGCTGGTCAGCCTAAATACATACAAGCGTTTTCGTTCATAAAACAAAGCGCAGGGGGCTCAGTGCGACGTCCAATCGTTTTTTAAACGTATCTAATGTGGGGGCACAAACAACTGAGTTTGGAAGGGCGTTCCAGGGCCCGCAGACCCGGAGGGAGAAATAGGTTCTCCGACAGTCTAGACGACTGTACTGTTGGCTCAGCTTTAAACTGTTACCGCGAAGGTTAGTGTTCGGGCTGAGCTTCAAGAGGTGGCGGCATACGTGACTGGGATCGCTCAATATCTGGTACACTAGTATGAGGTCTCCACGAAGTCGCCGGTACCGTCCGCTGAACACTCGGAGTATCTCCAGTCGTTCCTGGTAAGGAGTGTGGCGCAAGCCCTTGACGATTTTCGTTGCTCGACGCTGTGGGGTCTCAAGCGCTGCAAGGTCACGTTTTAGCCAGGGTTGCCAGGCCTGGATTGCATATTCGACGTGAGGACGCACGTAGGCATTCAGCATCAAAGAGAAGATGGATGGATCCAAAATTCCGAATGCTCTTCGCAGGAGTCCAACGTGCTGGTTGCCCCTTTTAGAAGCGGAATCTGACTGTTTGGAACACCCGAGGTCTTCCTGTACCAGCACACCCAAGTCGCGTTCCTGAGTGGTGGTCTTCAGATCGTGTGCCCCAAGCTTGTAGACGTGGACTTGTCGATGGCGGATATGAACAACGCGACATTTGTCCACATTAAACGGCAGGGCGTTTCTCACCGACCAATTCCAGGCCTCATTCAAGTCACGCTGTAGGACTTCCTGGTCGTCCGATCGTTTTATCGCCCGCCAAACCTTGAGGTCGTCCGCGAAGAGTAAGAATTTCGACTTAATAACTCTTACTAGATCGTTAATGAAAAGCAGGAACAAACGAGGCCCAAGTACCGAACCCTGCGGTACGCCGCATCCCACTCGAATCGGATCGGAAAAGGATGATCGAACTCTAACTACTAACTGCCGTTCAGAGTGAACGTTACCGATCCATCCTAACAACGGCTCTCCGATACCGTACTGTTGGAGTTTAATGAGCAGGATTCGATGATCCAGGCGATCGAAGGCTTTCGAAAAGTCCAAGAATGCAACATCGACTCCTGTTCCCTCATCGACAATCTCGGTCCAGTTGTCACGAGCTAACAGCAGATTCGTCGTACATGAACGATGTTGACGAAACCCATGCTGTTCTGGCGCAATTATGCCGTAGTTTTCCAAGTATCCCATTAACGCATCTGCTATCACCGCTTCCATGACTTTGGCGATCACAGGCAGAAGCGATGGGTGAGCAGACTTAATAAATCACTGAACATTTTCAAGACAATTTCCTCCTTCATCCATCCTGATCCGTTTGCTGTTCCTGAGCATCTGAGAAAGGCTCCGCGGAAAAATAAACATTGACAGCACTGAATTAGGCACTGCATTAACAGCATAGACAAAAGCGATCAGCGTGCTCTTTCCAGAGGTCAC